GTGCAGTTTAGGCTGGACTTGAGCTCACTTTGTAGCCTAGGCTGGTCTCCAATTCATAAGGATCCTCCTGCCTCAGCCTCCCAAGTGCTGGGATTACAGGTGTGAGCCACCACACCAGTCTCCTGGTTTTGTTTTTGAAATGGGGTTTCACTACATTGCCCAGGGTAGCCTTGAATTTAGGATCCTCCTGCCTCAGCTTCCTGAGTGGCTAGAATTGTAGGCACATACTAAAATGTTTGGCTTACTATTTTCTTCTTCTTTTTTTTTTTGTCTTTTTGAGACAGGGTCTCTCTATGCAGTTCAGGCACCTTGGGCTCACTTTGTAGCACGGGCTGGTCTCCAACTCACAATGATCCTCCTGCCTCAGCTTCCCGAGTGCTGGCATGAGCCACCACGCCTGGCTCAATTATATTTTAATTAAAAATTTTTACCTAGGGGCTGGAGGTTTTAGTTCAGTGGCATAAGCGCCTGCCTTGCAAGCAGGCAGTCATGAGTTCAATCCCCGGTACAGATAAAAAGGAAAAAGACAAAAAAAAAAAAAAAAAGAAAAAAAATTTTTTTTCTGACACATATTTGTGTTGCCGGGGATGGTGGCTCATGCCTGTAATCCCAGCACTCAGGAGGCTGAGGTGGGAGGATTGTTGTGAGTTCGAGACCAGCCTGGGCTACAAAGTGAGCTCAAAGCCAGTTTGAACTGCGTAGCAAGATCCTGTCTCAAAAAGACAAAAAAAAGGGGCTGGGGATTTAGCTCAGCGGCATAAGCGCCTGCCTTGCAAGCAGGCAGTCGTGAGTTTGATCCCTGGTACCGATAAAAAGGAAAAAGACAAAAATAAATAAATAAATAAATAAATAAAAAGACAAAAAAAAAAAGACAAAAAAATAATATTTGTGTCCATTTATTAGATACAGTATGATAATCTGATGCCCGTAAAATGAAATAAGAAATTCCAGCACTCAGGAGGCTGAGGCAGGAGAATCAGGAGAATCAATGCCATGAGTTTGAGGCCAGCCTGAGGCTACACAGTGAAATCCTATCTCAAAAAAACAGGCTGGGGATTTAGCTCAGTGGCATAAGTGCTTGCCTGGCAAGCATAAGGTAATGCGTTTGATCCCCGGTACCAAAAGAAACCCTCAAAAACTAGATGATGTAAACATTATAGGACAAAGCATTTATTTCACATGTGACAACAGGAATTAATTTGTCTTAGTGATTTCAGCTAAGGAGTCATTTTTGGTTCTGCCGTATTAATTTAGACAGTTTAAAATATCGGAGAAGAGAAAGCCATAGGGAGAAACACAAGTGAAAACAGACTGTTTATCTAGGTCACCTCTTTAGGTCACAAGGGTGAGTCTCTGAGGACTAAAGATTAAAGGAGAAAAAAAATAAAAGTAACCATGTATCCTCCACCCTACCGGGGTCAAAGAATTCCTGGTATTGGGACAGGAGGCAGATGACCGCGTCCTGGGAAAGGTGTTTGGAGGACTGGGCGCCGGCGTTCAGGGTCAGGCAGAGAGCCCTTGGATTTTCCCTTGGCCTTTGCTCTGGTTGGGTGTCGAAAGAACGTCCAGGATTTGAAGGAAGTGAGGTTCTTTGGGAGGGGTCGGAGGCCTCTTAGGGACAGTGTGGCGGGACCTTCTTCTAAAGTTCATGTTGGTCAAGAGGACAGGGCTGGGTGTGGCGGCGCGTGCCTGGAATCTCAGCACCAGGGAGGCAGAGGCAGGAGGGTCACTCTGCGTGTGAGGCCAGCCTGAGCTACAGCGTGAGTTCAGGGTCGGTGTGAGCTCCCTCCTGAGTGGCTCACCACTCTCCCTAAAAAATAATAGTGTATAAAATAAGTGAGGGTGGCAGGATTCCTTCTGGAAGTTGGGGTACTGGAAGGAGATGATGGGGGTCAGGGTGTTTTGAGACTAAGGTGAGGTGGACGTGACAGGGAGGACAGCATTAAGAGAGCCCTGGGCATGCCCCGTGAGGACGCCAGGCTGGGACAGCAGACAGACACAGTGCTGATATTTGTCTCTTTGTTCTGTCTGCTCCTGGGTTAAAGCATTGACTTTGGGGGAACATAGTGCCTGCCATACAGAGCTCCTCCTGCCTCAGCCTCCTGAGTGTTGGGATTATAGGTGTGTGACATCGTGTCTGGCTTAAGCTCCTTAATTTTCAGCAAGTTATTTAACTCACCAGGGGTGCGGATGTAGTTCAGTGGCACAGCACCTGCCTTGGCAAGTGTGAGGCCCTGGATTCGATTCCTAGTACCAAAAAAAGGAAATGAAGTTATTTAACTTACTGGAATCCCAGTTCCTTGAGTCTTCAAATGAAGATGATAATAACTGTCTTCATGGGCGGTTGTCAGACCTAAGTGGGCTAACGAATGGAACATGAAGTGTGCCGTGCTTGGGATGTAATAAGCTTCCCATCGGCAGCTTGGTCACTGCTCTTATTTGGGAGGTTGCGGTTGCCAAGGAGCCAGCCTCCAGCTCTGGGAAGAGAGCTGGTGCTGTCTGGCTGTGCCAGAATGCTTACATAGGTTTAACTAGGTCACTCACTAATTTTATGGTCTGATAGCTTAATATGATGCTTTATAATCACATGGATTTCGGAGATCTAAGTGTACACTTTTATGAGTAAACGAAGCAGGGCACGGTGACACAGCCCTGTAATCCCAGCACTTGGGAGGCTGAGGCAGGAGGATCACCACAAGTTCCAGGCCAGCCTAGACTACATAGTGAGTTCAAGGCCAGCCTGACTGAGTTATGTGAGGGGCTGTCTCAAAGAAAACAAAACAAAATGAATATATGTGAAAATAACACCGCTTCTTACTACTACTTGAAGGCTTGTTCCCTGAGCCAGAGTACCTCTCCTGGGCCTGCAGTACGGGACCCACAATTCTGCACCTGCCCACTCCAGAAGGCGCCTTTAGGAGAAACAGCACTGCAGAGAGCGGCCATTCTGATGCAAACTGAGGTGGCAACTCGCTGTCTTCCCCACTGCCTTCACACTTCGGTTAAGTAGCTCTGTCCATATCTACAATGGTGGAAGCTGTTTACTGGATTTATTACGCTGTAAAATTCAGTTCTTGAAGGGGAGACAAGTGGGGGGAAAAAATTCAGTTCTCATTTTAAAAAACGTACAAGAAGGGGCTGGGGATTTAGCTCAGTGGCATAAGCACCTGCCTTGCAAGCAGGCAGTCATGAGTTCCATCCCTGATACTGAAAAAGACAACAACAACAAACAAACAAACAAAACCCCCAAAACCAAAACGTACAAGAAGGCATAAACTAGGTTCCCCATCTCAAAGTTGAAACAATGTTTTCTTGCTAAGGAGGGGTGCTGGCACATCCTGTAATCCCAGCCTGAGGCGGGAGGATCACAGCAAGTTTGAGACTAGTTTGAAGTCCAGAAACCAAAAGAAGAAAAGAAAAAAATTTTCTTGCTGAAAGTTACACTGCAAGGTAAGGGAAGAACCCATTTTGTTTTTAGATCTCTTGGGTCACAGTTGGATATCTGTGAGTCCAAATTATTCCTAAAGAGAACCATTGAGTGAAGAAATTATAATCTGAGAAGATATTCCAAACAGAAAATTATCACTTGATTTAAAATAGATGACTGAATTCTCTTGAGCTATGTTTTATCCCCCCTTCATTATTCTATTACAGATCATAACTCCTCCGGGAAGAGCGTGCAGTTTAAGGACACCAATGAGCATTTACAGAATATTAACAAACCAACAATAGGTTGATGATTCACCCTGGATTCATGCCAGGGGCTGTGAAAGAACTCAGTAAGCACGATATGCATTTCAAACGCTAGTAATGATAATTAAAATTTCCCAACCCCTCAATCCTGGGGGTTATTTAGGCAGAAGACAGCTTCCACCCTGCCTCAACTCCCTGCTATGATTGGAGGACGCTATGATTGTCAGCTTCGGGGTCGGTGGGACACAATACTACATTCTTCCCAAAAGGAAGGGATGTTTGGCTTTTTCCATCTTTTCAGGTTAGGTGGCTAGGGCTGAACGCTGCTCTCCGAAGCCCTCACGGTCGGTTCTTTATTCCCTAAGTGAGAGTTTTTGGTTTCCAACGAGCAGTGCAATTTACTAATTTTGCTTTTCTTTTATGTAATGCAGCTTTTGTCACACTCTTTTTGAAAAACGTTTTGAAGTGCTCGTCGTCATTTCGAAAGAATCAAGCACACATCTTTGGAACCACCGTGTGCACCCCCTTCCCCGCCCCCCACGTGAATCCGCATCTTCAGCGACTGGAAAAGCAAAGGGAGACCCTGGTAATAGCAAGAGGACCTGGACTCCCGCTAGTCGGCTCCTGGGACCTGCCGGCGCCGCGCAGCCTGTTCCGGTGGATCAGCACCGCGCCGCGCCTGCGGGAGGAGGGACACGGCCGCCGCACGGACCGGGGCGCGCGACCTAGGTCGGCCTCTCCTCGCCCGCCGGGCTGCTCCTTTTATTAACGGGCCAGGGAGGAGGCAGGCTCCACCCCTCTGCCCGTCCTTCACCTCCCATTGGCCCGGCCCACTGAGCGCGTCACGCTGAGATGCGCCAATGGCGATGCGTGATACTGCGAGGTGGGCCGGGCCCGAGCAGGGAGTGGGCGGCGGGTCGGCGTAGCAGCGCCGCCGCGGCTCCGCCACCATCGCTGAGGTGCCGCTGCTCCCGCAGACGCTCGCGAGCCGCCCCCCGCGCTCCGGAGCCTCCTCTTCCTCTCGCACGCCCCGAGCAGCTCGCCCGTCTGGGCCTCGGTCCCCGCCTCCTCTGCCCTCCTCGTCCCTTTTTGCGCTCCCCACATTGTCTCTGCCTCATTTTCTCTCTCAGTTGAGGAAGGAAAAAAAATCACCACCCTCCTCAGGGAGCCCCTCGCCCTCCGGAAAACAAAACCAGACATGGTCCTGGGCTCGCGCTCCTGAAGGCTCGGGCGGACCCGAGGAGGAGGAGGAGGAGGAGGAGGGCGCCAGGGCTCGAGTCGCGGGAGAGGTCGCGGCAGGGAGCCCCCAGCCCCCGTCGCGTCCCCGCGGGCGGGTCCCCGGCCTCGGCCCGCACCCCGCGGCCTCACCGCCCCCGCCCCGTCCCCGCCTGCACTTCCGGAGCCGGCCGCACACGCCTCCGTGGATGGTGTAGCGCCCTCGGGAAGGTACGTGACCGCGGCCGCGATCCGAGCACGGGTGCGGGCGCCGCGGGGGTCGCGGGCCGGGGGTGGGGTGGGGAGCGGGCCGCGTAGACGCCGGCGGAGTCAGGGGTCGCCGGCCCGGGCCGCGAGGGCCGGCGGGGAATAAAGGGCCGGCGACTCGCGTGGCCCCGCGCGCCTGCGTGACGAGTGTCCTCCCCCCGCCGCGTGCCTTGTGACCCTGCTCCCGCTTGGCTCCCGCTGCTGCACGCTCTCGTGCTCGTCCGAGGTTAAACCGATTCATGTGACTCAATTATTGGCTGAACTGTGGGAGGGGAAGGAAGTCAGGGAGCGAAGCTGTAAATTTCTTGAATGTTTGTGGATTTAGGGGTCTTGGAGGCGCGCTCTTAGGAAAGTATCATTTTCACATTAGGGGAGAGATTCCTCCTCCTTTGTGCTCTTCATCCCTAGTTCTCTGCTCCGTGTGATCACAAAAAGATGAAACCAAAAATTACTTGCAGCAGAAAAGGATTCGTACTGTATTGTTTTAGTTCTGCTGTCAGAAGGAGGTTGGGTTCTTTTTTTTTTTTCCAGGCTTGTGGAAAGTACAGAAGTAGTTAGTTGCACATAGATTGAGGTTTGTGTGTGTGTGTGTGTGCGCGTGTGTGTGTGTTGGTAGGGGAAAAGTATTGCAGGTTTCCTTTGAAACCGGGTGCTTGAGAAGTTGGTGAAGGAAAACAAAATGATTCATTGTCGAATTGTCATTTTTCCTCTATCTCTTTTCCAAGGTTTGCTTACAGTTTTTCTGGATTATAGACTTCAAACATTGGTTTAAGCAAAATGTGTCCTTGAGAAACTGAGTGCTTTAAATGTTTCAGTATGTGCCACTATTTTAAGTTACATTTTAGAAAGTAGTTTTATGTGAATCCTGAAATAGCTTTCTCCAGAGCAATTTTTTACACACGGAAAAGATAACTAGTGAAAGGGTGAACTTGCTGGATTACAAACCAGACATTTGATGTAACATAAGGTAATGTGTTCTGGGTTCATATTTAAAACAGCTTGGAGAATTGCTTTCCATTTCTGAGAGGGACCTTTTTGTCTGGTGTACACTGGTTTCTTTAGTCTCAGCCCGTTGGGGGAGGGGAGAAAGACTGGATCTGTACAATAGTAAAATCATCTTTGGGTAGATGTTTCTTTCCACGGGTTTGCTTGCTGAGTTAATTCCACTGGAAATTATAAAACAGTTTTGCTTTTGGTGGCCTAGCCTGGGTGGAATGCTGGCTTTCAGCTTTCTCTGTTGTTGAGGTCGAAGGAAAAAGAGGCAGACACGGACACACACACACACACACACACACACACACACACACACCGAGACACAGACACACACACACACACAGACACACACACAATGGCAGGCTGAGAGCTCATTGTTCTTCATACACACATTCATTCTCTCTCCCATATTTGGGACTAGGTTTGCACTGATAAACACAGCTCTTTTTGGGGCAGAGGAGAGAGGATGGGGGCGGGGAGGGTGCTTTTCTTTTTCAGCTTTCTTTTCCCCTTCTCATGTCTGGCCTTTTTTTTTTTTTTTGCAACCTTGCAGGGCAGAAGAGTACACAGAAACCTAAAGGACACTCAGAAAGCGTTGGTTTTGAGACTCTTTTTTGTCTCCCTTTCTTTCGAGCTTTCTGTTGCTCTTTCTTTTCTGTGTATGTAGAGATAAAATCTCTTTTTATGTGACATGGCCTTGAAAGTCAGCTTTTGGTCCTTTCATATCCTCGTTGCCCCCAGGTTTGTTGGGCCAGCGATTTGTTCACTTGACTCTTACTGTAGTGAATGTGACCCAGGTCCTCTTTTCTAACTGTCTCAGTTAAAATGATTGTATTCGAGGTGAGCATTAGCAAGTGTGTGTGTGAGTGAGTGTGTGTGATTAGCGGTTAAGAGCTCAGTGAGGTGGTGGTTTTTGTAAATAGAGAGTAGGAAATTTTAAGAAAAGATAGTGTTTTCTGCTTTGGGACTGGGGTAGGGGCCTGGACAGGGCTGAGAGGCCATCTGGGGTAAACCCAACTCTGGGCAGGGCTGGAGGTTGGTGTGACCACAAGTGGGCTGCAGAATATAGCACCTTCTGTTGGTTAATTGCTCTGACCCAGCCGGAGGCAGAGGGTGGGGGAGGGGATTAAGGGCCGAGGCTTAATGATTTTCTTTTAAATGCAGTTGCAGTGCCTTTCTGCAAATGACACTTCTCTGAGCTGCTAATACAGATGCCCTTTGACAAGCACGGTTGCATCGAGGCTTTATTATGTTATTGGCTGTGTCTTGACATTCATTTGTTCTGTTATCAGAGGTATTTACACATTGTGACTTCCAAGGCTGCCTTTAAATTGATACTCTTCCATCTTTCCGGAGAAATATAGTTTATTATGAAATGGTACACAGAATAAGAGGGTTGATTTGCATTCTAGGTGTTGGAAACTATACACTAGCACTCTAAATGTTTTAAAAAAGTATTGTTTAAAAAGTCGAATCTGCCCTATAGAAAGTAAAATTCTAGTACTGTACTGAGAGTTTTCTGAGTGATTTAATGTAGGTTGGGGAGGAGTTGGGGAGGGGGAATCTCACTAAAATCAGCAGTTTTGCATACCCAATAGCATTGCGTTGTGATAAGTGTTTTCAGTAGTCATTTCAACAGAACTCTTAAAGACATGGTTTATGAATTTGATTTTTACAAATTGAAGGCCAGAGAAAACTGGAAATGAATGATACACCGATTAGATAGAAAGAGCTGAATTTTTGCTTAAAGGTTTCTAAACCAACTTGCAGTTTCAGAAATAACTGCTTGATAAATGCCTTGAAGGATTTTTATTACCACAGATCCTAGCTCATCTCAATTGTTTTAAGGCAGTGAACTGTTCAGGCATTTGTAATCTTAGAATAAATATCTTCTGTTCCAGACTGCCTATTTCTAATGTGATTTCTGAGTCACTTAGCTTCCCAAACTGGAAGCAAAGTCTCTAAAATTGTTTATCTTTTACAGTGAGGTGTGAACAGTTCAAATGTATTTTTTTTTCTGTCCCAGGGATCAAACTTCATGATTTTGTGCTTGCCAGACAGGTGCCTAAGCCAGTGAGCTAAATCCCCGGCCCCCAAATGTATTATTCAGTGTATATAGAATCAGGTAATTTCAGTCTAGTATTTTCTTTGCCAGCCTTTTGTGACAGGAAAACTAGATTAACTGTTTAACTAAAAAGGTGATTCAAATCAAGAAATAAAATATACTAGTTACTTTTCCAACTTTGACTTACTGGTTGATCTATAGAGTTTTGAAAAAATGGGATCATGATACAGTACTGAAATAATTGTGTGTACTGTTGAGCACATATTGAACTGTAGTGTGTCAGGGGCCACACACACACACAAGAATATGATCTGTGCTCTTCTTTTTTTTTTCATTTTTTTTTTTTTTTTGTCTTTTTCTTTTTTATCGGTACTGGGGATTGAACTCATGACTGCCTGCTTGCAAGGCAGGCACTTATGCTGCTGAGCTAAATCCCCAGCCTTGATCTGTGCTCTTCTTTTTTTTTTTTTTTGTCTTTTTCGTTTTTATCGGTACCAGGGATCGAACTCAAAACTGCCTGCTTGCAAGGCAGGCGCTTATGCCGCAGAGCTAAACTTCCAGCCCCCGATCTGTGTTCTTCATAAAACCGGAACACGAGGTGGCTGTGGTGGCACATGCCTATAGTCCCAGCATTTGAGGCTGAGGCAGGATGATCACTGAGTTCAAGGCCAGTTTGGGTTACATGGTGAGTTTAAGGCCAGCCTGAACTGTATAGTGAGACCCTGTCTCAAAACAAAAAACCAAACGAGAAACAAAACCTGAATATGTTGAATATTACGAATTTCATAAGCACCTATTACTTTAAAATTGGTTTTGAATCTGTAACATCTTGTTCAAATTTCAGTAATCAGAAAAACATTTAAGTAGTAAAATAAGGTTGTACATGCCAAGTTCTTTTGAGAATAGTGTGCTTTCTTGCTAACTGCTTTGGGCAGCTACTTTGGCAGTTGATTTAAAGGTTAAGATAGCAGAAAACTCAAATGTTTGAATGTAGTGTAACTTAGCTGTGAACTTTATTACCTACACATCTTTAAACAGTACACTATTGTTCTTACATACTCAGTTTGATAACTCTGTTCTGATTATTTATAGTTTTTTTTTAACAGCTAGGAACTCCTTGAATCATATTTAAATGACTTAGTTATTAATATTGTGATAATTACTGCAAAGTCTAAGTTTGACTTGCACTGTGACTTGTGCTTTGGGTGAAACTGTTACATTTGTCTTTACCTTCTTGTCTGAAAGTGTTCTAGTGTTTTTAAATGAGGTGAAATAGGCATTTAAGTATGTATTAGAAAATTACTAAGAATGCTTATGCCACATGCATTTATTTATTTGGTACTGGGAATCAAACTCATGACCTCATGCTTGCTAGGCAGGCACTGTGCTGCTGGGCTATATCCCCTGTCCGAATATCCCACTATAATGAATGTTTGACTACAAATAAATCAAGCATGTCCACATAACGAATATACTTACTAGCTTGGAGTTTGGTTGTGGCTGTGATTTGTTTGACTCTTTTGTTTGTGTTCTAAGTCATGTAAGATACAATACAAGGTTCCTTTGTTAGGTAACTAGGTCAGATAGTACTGTTAATGTATTTTTCATATTCCCAGCCCTGAGGAAGGCTGAGGCAGGAGGATCACAAGTTTGAGGCTTGCCTGGGCAACCTAGTGAGACCTCATATGAAGAGTAAAAAAAAAAGAGCTGGGGTGTAGTTCAGTGGTACAGAGTCCCTGGATTGGAGCCTCAGTGGTGCAAGGGGTGGAGCTTTTAGTAAAATGCTTTGTTGGTGCCAGTGTAACACTGCTTTTAATTGGTAAACTTCGCTAATAACAAGTATAAAAAACATATTTGACTGAAATTTTTCCTTACATAGTTATATTACAGGTGATATGACCTCTAA